ATCCGGGTTTATCAAATGATAAGTCAGAGTTTGCCGAAATTGCCATCTGTGAAACAGATGTACATCGAGAACTCCAGACGCTCAATAAGCACAAATCCGCAGGTCCGGATGGAATCCATCCAGCCATAGTGCAGCCGCTGGCTGGGGTGCTAGCCTGGTCGCTGACCGTACTTTTAGGAAATCGGTGCAAACTGTTACGCTACCCCAAGACTGGCGCACAGCTACCTTAGTAGCACAGCACAAGGCTGGACCGAAACACAAAGCAGAAAACTATAAACCCGTTAGCCTAACGTCAGTTCAGTGTAAGTGCCTGGAGCGGCTTATCAGAAGGCAGATTTGCCCACCCCTGACTAGCAATCGACTTCTGCAACCGGCACAACATGGCTCTGTGCAGCGAAAATCATGTCAGTTCTAAAACGGCATAAATTACTGTTGCTTTCTCATTTTTCATGCAGACGTGCTATGACATCCAAAAAAGAGTGATTTTGCAATATATCATAGGGTCACGCATAGATCACTTCCCCGTAACCTCACGATTCTCTTCATTTTAAAACCCCAACTACCGAAAGTATCCCCCACTTCAATCATCCACTTTCTTACTCCTCTATTTTACGCTTGCTCTCAAAAACAAATATTCCCCGACGCAATCTGCCTCGACGTCACGCAGAAAAATTAACATCACTTTATTAAATTTTTCTGTTTAGGCAAAGTTAAGAAAACAATTTCAGCATTTCCGCTCAAATGGTGTCGGTGCTATTTCGACTAAAATGTCCTTCGTTTACACTTGTTTCTTCACATGACCTATCCTGCCTCTCCCACCTGATCCTCTTCTGTCTGGTACCTTGCATGCTGAATATCTCTAAACTTCAGCCAGGTTCTCTCCAGCTTTTCTATTTTCACTCTTTCTTCTTATACATCTTGTCCTCAACGAATCTGTTTTGACGCTTCAGAGCCAAATCAGAATCACTATTTTTATTTAAGTTAAGGTTTAGGAACCCCGCTTGAGCACTTCCGCTCAATTGGTGTCGGTGATACTTGGACTAAAATGTCCTTCGTACAAGTTGTTACCTAATATCTAGTAAGCAAGATATTCCTCGAATCATTCCCACTCAATTCCCTCGGCCCCTCTCCGTGGTATATGGTAACNAAGCTGGATCTGTGGAATTCAAAACTCTGGTGCGCACTCTCATAAGCATTTTATCGTTTTACCGCGCTGCAACTCCTGGTTTTGGTCTGACGTCTATATTCAACCCGGTACCCTATCATTTTAGTACAACGTGCTAGGTGTGCACTTATTTTTAGTATTCTTCCGTCACATGCTCCGTTTTCCCCTTATCCCTTCCCTCTTCAGCTGGGTACTACTCCAGGCTGCTGCATATCGCCTCTTTGTTCCAGATTCGGTTGGCTTCGGCCTGCCGAAGGCTTGGAGTCCTCACCCACAATGGACA